CTGAACAAGTGGTGATGGACCAGTATCATTGTGCACTATGCCATCACCACATACGCCTCCCTCCTTGCTACAGTGCAGGGCTTAATGTGGGACGCGGGTCACTGACGAGGAGGCCGAAACCTCCGAAACAACGGAGAATGCCCTGGTGTACCAACGTCGTTTAGGCTTTACATTCTTCTAGGAATTATTTTGAATGTTTATTGCAAGGTTTTAAAAACAGTCAATCTTATTCGTATTTTCGCTTGCTTACAATTTACCATTCTTCGACGCGCATTGTCAATGATAGCAGGCGAGTGGCTGATAAAATGGTACTGATGATGGCGAAAACGCGGAAACACGCTTGTCCGCCAAGCTGCTGCTTTAGATGAATGCAGTCAAACCTCGAAATGATAGTTAAAACATTTTCAACGCATACTTATCCCCTTTCTGCTTCTCAACTATCTACCCTACTCGTAGACTGACGAATAAGAGAACTCATCCAAGATTTAATATAACATATCCTTCATTTCGAGTGTTTTCTTAAGACCACAGCTCAAATTACAATATGCCTGATAATCATTATTTGAGCCACGCATGTCAGTGGTCTGTTAATGAGGGCTGACTTATAGAGCCCGATACACGTGTTTCGATCTTGCGATCTCGTCAGTCGGGCAGTTACCCGTTCTCGTCTTTTGCTAATCTCTGTGGGTGCTCCAGTCCCCACAATAAGAGTTAGCGACGACGTACGTTTTACACTCTGTGTTCAGTGAAGAACTCACCAAACACAGAGTTTTTTACACTCGAATGCTCGTGGCTAGTATATTTAATATAACATATCCTTCATTTCGAGTGTTTTCTTAAGACCACAGCTCAAATTACAATATGCCTGATAATCATTATTTGAGCCACGTATGTCAGTGGTCCGTTAATGAGGGCTGACTTATAGAGCCCGATACACGTGTTTCGATCTTGCGATCTCGGCAGTCGGGCAGTTGCCCTTTCTCGTCTTTTGCTAATCTCTGTGGGTGCTCCAGTCCCCACAATAAGAGTTAGCGACGACCTACATTTTACACTCTATGTCCAGTGAAGAACTCACCAAACACAGAGTTTACCGCAAGTCGAGTGTTAGATTCCCCTGACATTGCAGAGACCTTTCACAAAAATTTAGATCCCACAAGCGGCCCAAAACATGCTATATAATAATCAGACTATCATTGTTTTAGGGCGAGGTCTATGAAAAAGCGGGGAAATTGAGAGATATGGTCCATTTTAGCAGCCATAAGCTCAAATTTCATTAACCTCTCTTCTCACACTTTTCCAGAGTTTTGATATATATATCTACAGATTAACCTGCAATCTTCTCCAAAGTTTCAGTGTTCCGAGTAGTTCTTTTCAGAGATTAATCAGAGTTTTCCATTCAATAATACTAAGCCTAACTTGACTTTCAGCACTCAGACGTATGTAACGTAGTCTAACGTAGATTGAGATACAGATATTAAGTCATCGTTTGCTTCATTGTCATATCCTACTTAATGAATATCTCTGTCCTATAGTATGCAACAAAAACGTGGTCACTAAGTAAATAGGATCGAATGTCACTCAACGCTATCCACTCACAACTGAAAAGTTGATGCTAGGAATATCCCGTGTCATACATAACAGAAAAAAGAAAAGCTATTTAGGTCTAAATCAACGATCAGAAGTCAAGGGGTTATTGAAGATATATGGGCCGAACACGTACTGCTTTGACGAGATCCGATGAACGAAAGCCGTTACTGGCTAGATCCTGGAGATATCAAGGGCACTGCAGGAATACCATGATCCATGTTGTTTTCCCACCATGAAAAGTCCACAAGGCGTTATGCTCAACGGATTGCTAGGGCGAAGAGGACCCACTGGGCTACTTTAAGCTGTGAAGAGGAAAAATGGAAGTCTCACTGGTGTTCGCTTAGGTCACTAAACGATATGTACTGTAGTGCACCTCTGTACAGAGCTCCACGCACACCTCTTTAGCAGTGCCTGTCAATTGTGCGCGTTATTACGCCAACATAGTTAAAAACACGACTACTTTTAGGAATCAAACTGTATTTTGCCACATAATTATGAACCTAAAAAAACTGTCTTGTTGATAGGTTACAGAAGAAATTGAATAATATACCTACTATAACGGTAAAGAGCGCATGTGACGCAATGGTTAGAGGTGCTCTGCGTCACGGAAGAGGTCAATAGTTTGACCTCACGTTCATTGCTCACCAAGCCATCCATCCCTCCGGGGTAGGTAAATTGGTACCAGACTAGTATCAGACTTGTCTGTGAGTATAAGCAGCACTGACTCGGTACAGCGGGAGGCCACCGCGAGTTTGTTGTAAAGGCTAAATTGAAAGTACTACGAAAAGCTTAGAGACTCGGCCAACCCTGCGCAAGATTGATCCAGTGCATGAATTCTTCAGGTCGTTCACTCAATGAGAGAGATACTAGCCCCAGAGAATGCATCTCTATAAGAAAGAATCTGACTGAGAAGCTTACACGTTGGACTCAACTTATGGAAGAAAAGCTATACTATAGAAAAGTAAGTAAAGAAAAGTATAAAAGTTGTGAAGGCCTATTAGCCGGAATAAACTACTTTGTTATGTCCTTTATATTCTCATATCATCCACCTGAGTAACATGTTTTGAAGTGTAAATGGAAAGAAGGTAAAGGATAAATCACTTGCTTTGGCGCAGCAGATGCCCACTGCTAATGACTATGTAACAGTAATCTTTCAGAATATATTCCAGGAAGGCCATGCCCCTACAAGATAGTCTTATGTCTCTCACGTTGCTTCCACAAACGTTAATTGCATCAGTTTGTATAGGGCGCTCTTAATTTGTTGCAAGGCATGTAGGAAGAATGTACTGACGAAATCGTGAGATCATTCTTCAACTATAAAAAAATTGAAATGAAAAAGGTATATGTAAGAGAAACCTTGCGAGGAGATTTCAGTGTGAAATGAGTTATGAAAAGTCAAGTCAATCGAATTGCTCTACTAAACACGCGTAGGACGCAAAAGTGCACCAGAATTACTTTTCGTTTAAAGTGTATTATGAGACCATACTCAAAACAATATCATCTGACAACATATTTCACGCTTTTCGTGAGGTTTGTTAGGACGCTTATATAGTGCAAGAAATGTATTTCAGCATTACAACCTCGTAGTTGCCTTCCGGTTTAGTCATTTCCACGGAAAAATGCACTTTTATATAGAGAATGCAACGCCGAACCATTTACGTCGGTAAATAGATCACCCAACTGTCTTACCAGCCATGAACAGTCAAGTGTACAGCATTGGCCGTTGAATGATCTACTTACCAAAAGACACATGTAAATAATTCGACGTCGCTCTTCCATGTAGGGGATTCTCCCCGAGGACTGACTGAGCCGAATGGCACCGTTCACTTGACGAGACTGTCATGCCGAAACACGTGTTTTGCACTGTATAAGCACCCCAACAGGCCTCATGAAAAGCTCAAAAATGTCATCAGATTTCATGGTAAATGATTTCAAATAGAAGTTCGCATACTGTCACAAAGATCTGAAGCGTCAGCGTGACTGCGCTTTATATTTTAAGACAAATTTTATTTCCAAGGGAGGCATATCTTGAACCAAACTTTACTTCCAAGGAAGACATATTATATATAAAAATGTCTTTGGGATTGCTTTCCATCAGTAAGTGGAACATATGCAAAAGCGCTAAGCACTTTGAAAATGAAGTCTCTCCTGTTGCTATGACTGACTACTCTTTCGAGATAACGTGTATATATGCAAGTTTTCAAAGTTTAAAGAACGCAAAATCAAAAGTTTGCTTCTGTTTCGCAATCTTCCCATAGAGGCCTGTTTTTCAATATGTGACGGTTTAGAATGCAAACCTTGCAGGTAGAGGAGGCTTTTCATATCGCTTATACAAAACATGCGGTCCTCGTTGAATAATATCACATTCTTGAACAGGCTTAAGAAAATAATACTTCCAAATTGAAAGCGTTTTTTTTTAAGATTTGAGATGTCATGAAAAACAGTGGTAGGCGGCAACGTAAGAGATACGGCCTCTTTATGCTAAATGGAGGCAAATGAATATTCGACACCATTCATTGGGTCAGAATTTTTCACTGACTTTCTAGTAACCATTCAAACTCTTAAGGTATCACTGTGAGTAACTGTTTTCCTCAAAACACCTTTCTGTAACGCTGTCAAATTCAAATAAATTATGTTTTACAGCGGCTGCGCAATTCAACTACTACTTCGTTGGATGCACGAAAAGCATATGAACGTGTGAAGAAAATCTTTAGTGCCAGTATCAGACTTTCGGACGTGTTGATACGGTCGCCTCCGCTTTCGTCCCTCCCCTCTTACACACCTCGTAGAACAGCCAGAACACATGCTGGCATATGTGGATCAATCATATTTTGTCTGCTGCACTGCAGTAAAGCGATCTTTTTAGAAATAAGCATGGAATTGGAAGCACCGAATCTTACGCTATCAAATGATTACTAATGGTATGAAGAAAGAGCTCTGTCTTGCAAAAAAACGCTTGTGATACACAAATGTTTTCCTTTCGCGAAAGTGTTGTAAAAGGACCTTTTCGAAATACTACCAGATACAGCTCCAGCCACGGATCTAAGCTTTCGGATAATTACTAACACTCCTATTAAAATTTCTTGTCCAGCAAATGGGGTCGAATATTCATTTCTCGCCGTCTCACATAGAAAATCTGTAGGAACATTAGAAAGCTCGTATTATCATTAGCTTGCGAAGAGTGTAATAGTGAACTTTACGATTGCTTGCATCTTATCGTTTTTGCGGGAACGCGTGCTGAACCGCTACACTACCGACGCTCAAATAAAATGAATACAGATTGACCATTGAAATCCAGTATCTGTCAGCATAAGTGGGCTTAATGTGTTTAGTGACTGCCCATGGCAGACCGTAGACGGTTGACTGTTGACAGATAACGCGTTGTAGCGTACAAAGAGTGGTGTGCAAAACGAGCGTCGGTGGTGCAATAGTTCAGCGCGCCCTTCCGTAAAGAGTGAGTCTGAGTTCGAATCATGGCTGACGCACATGTTTTTGCATATCACTTCATATTATTGCGTTTATTGTGACATCATGCCACCGTAATGCGAGGTCAAATAAAATGAATTCTGATGAACGTTTTTCAGTGTGAAGAATACTAAATTTCAAACGCCACCTAGGGCATTCTCATTTTCACTGAATCATTCACAAGTAACTAATGGACACCAATGTCATGCAGTTATGGATAATTATGTCCCAACAAGCATTTTACTTGATGCAATAACTGTAATTCCATTTCTGCCTTCTGATGGATTTCCTGCATCATGTCGTTGGGATTACGATATGTCTGAGCCCATATGCCGGCATAGCCTATATTCCAGAATACAGCACATATAAATCAATGGAGAAACTACCGCTTTCTCGGATACTTCTGAGGTAATCGATTTTCCAAGATTTCGTACTTGTCACTTAAACCCTTTCCGGGCCACGTGTACCAATCGTGGTGCACGCGCCTTTCCGCAGTTTTCTCTTCCAGCACAGATTTTTCATTGGCTTCAACTAGTGATTCGATAGCTGACAAAGTTGTGGTTCTGACAGTATGCTTGGTTTATGAAAACGCTTTTGTAGTAAGCCGTGGTACCGAAGAGAAAATTAGGCTTTTTTTTTCGTAATGTACAGTGCTTCGCATTAGTGTTTGTTTAGTTGTATTACCAGACAAAAGTTTTTCACCATAGGCAGAGATTAAATCGATAGCTGGAAAAATCGTGGTTCTAATACTATGTATATTTTCTAGATACGTATCCCTAATGAGCTGCAACAATGATGAGAAAATTACGTCTTTTTTCGGAGTGTGTAGTGTACTATGCATACTGATTTGTTGAGCTTTCTCATTATACATAGTTCTTTCACCAAATTTTTGTTGTCATCCGATAGCATGAGAAACAGTTTTTCTAAATGTAGGTTTAATTCCTGGATAAACTTTATATTGCGCTGTCGTAACGATCAGGAAAAATTACCTTTCATATTTCATTTGAATCAACGGCGAATAATAATGACACACTAACTTTTGTAATTTACTCGTCGGGCAAGGATTTCACTACGATTTTAGGCAGCCATTCGATAGCTGAGAAATTTACAGTTCAAAATCTAAGCCTGTTTTCCAGAAAGGCTACTTCGGTGCGCTGTAGCAACAAAGAGTTACGGACTGGCTCCGGAGCGTATAATATGTTCTGCACTCGTATTTGTTTGACCTTTTCGCCGGAGAAATGATTTGATAAGAGTTTTAATGATCTTTAGGTAGCTTGAAATCTGCTAGTTCTATAGCCAGACTGATTTTCTTGTATAATTTTTCGATGTGCTTTAGCAGCAGAGAAAATAAAATTATGTTTTATCTTCGACGTTTATTATTTGCAAAGCTGGCATCTGTGCTTGGTTTAATACATATTTAGTATATAATCAAATGACAATTTGATAGAAAAATCATGGAAATTTGGAATTTTGGTTTTAATCCAGGAATTCATTACAGAGAGCTTTAAGAGCTAGAAAAAGTTTGTGTTTTGCACTCAAAATAGTTTACCATTGCTCTGAAATTCAAAGTCTGTGTATATGCTGCGTAGAAAGAAATAAAAGCCAATATTAATAGAAACGATAAAAGAAACTCTTTTCTACAGTTACGTCAATTTTAAAATCTTTTCCGAAGGGGAGAAAAATTTTTCAAAAATTGATAAGGAATCGAGTCATTTTGGCGCCGTAGTCGAAGTCGCTCCGCGCAGCGTGTCAGGTGGAGCGCGATTTTTAGTATCTAGTAAGCGATTTTACCTCTGTCGGAAGGATATGTTTAGATCGTTTTTTATGCTTAAGAGTCTTTCAGTAAAATGTCTAATTGGAAACCAACCATGCAGATATCAAATTTACTCAATATTAGTACACCATCCACATCGAAATGACTGAGCTATACACTATGCCATGATATCACTACAATTCAAAAGTTTGATTTTTATGAATCTCGGCATTATTGATTAATATGTGGAGGTAGAAAGAATTTATTATGGTTAGTTGACGCGAGATTGGCAAAGTTATGGCAGTAGCAGCTCGGTTGTGTCCAGACTGTAACTGTGTCATGATAAGACTGTATATGAGGAATTGCACTTAATGGTTCTTGCCTGCATAATGGAGTTTATCTGCATCCGGAATCGTAAGCTCTGAAGCTGCACAACCTTTTACGACAAAGGTGAGTTCTACTTCAGAATCCTTCCAGCTATGCGTCCTGTGCTTTCTCCGAGCCTAATGAAGTAGTTGCTTCACCGTTGCCGACTAGGAGTTTTTATATGAGCACAGCAACTGTATACCTGTTTCGCCGGCTCACACGAGCGAGGTCTACAAAAGCAGTCGAATGAAGAGGTATGAATCACTGCAGTGTCTGAGGATTCTGTCACCTGACTTGCTGTGCGGTATTATTCGAAGTCGATTCCTCTAGGGCTATGTCCCTAAGGGATCGTCTGAATCGAGAAACGAAGAGACTGCGCTACTGAGGAGTTCGGAAGAACAAAACAGGTCCCTGTTTAGCGTTGTAAGAGTGCCCTTTTCAGGCCTCACGAACGGCTCAAAACATGATGTGATTACCAGATTATTTGTTTCTTTGGAGCGAGGTCTACAAAAAAGTTAGATTGAGAGGTATAGACCGTAAAATTCGAGAAGAATCACTTACCAGTGCCGAGGTCTTCTGAAATCCACATAATCTGAAGGATGAAGGCTGACTTCAATTTCTATTGCTCTGATACTGTATAGGTTCTGATACATCGCGCCTTCTGCTCAATTTCAGAACCAAGTCGCTTATTCACTTTCGCGGACTAGATGCACACTGCTAGAGCATTTGAAATATTTCCTCTGATGATTACAATTGGGATACTTCAAATATGCCAGTTTCTTAATAGGGTCGAAACAGTCGATTTAATGTCTTAATAGAGCCATTTTCTTAAGATACAAATCAGGATCAATCTACGCCGAATTATCGGAAAATTGTGTCAGCTTTTTTTGTGCATGGTTAATTTTTGCTATGTAGAAGCCACTACTAGTAAAGCGAAAATGTCATAGCTGTTGATCAGCAACATTTTTCTTGTATTATCTTCTTTTCAGCTTTCTGGGTAGCCTTCTCAGATGTGATTGCTAGCAAATTCGACAATAAATGTTATCATCATGTCGAGCATGCAAATGGAGTGAAATTTTGAAGTAATACCCGGAACTATCGTTAGTCGAGAGCGAAGTAACGGTACTTCTAGCAGTGATGAATCTTTTATTTCGAATACTTTAGCAGAAATAATAGTTTGAGGATAAGCAGCAGAAATAGAATAAATTACAATCAAGAAGACTCAGGTATTATCAAGTTTCAAAACGAGAAAGACGAGATGGTTGCATTTGAATACTATTCGCTTGACACGCTGAATGATGTTTTGGCACCACAACAGTCACCTCTGTTTTGCCCTTTTGAGGACCGCAGATCAACCGCTTGAGCTCCATATGTAGATTTCTGTAGGAAGAACGTTGTTATTAGAACATGCTTGTTTTTCTCTGACAAAGCACAAAGGAAAAATTTTTTGCTAAGCGAAACAATAGCAAAATTCTTTCTAAAACATAAAATCGGCTCCTGAAAAAGCACATTAACTAACTTGTTCATCATGAAGTAAGGCAATGTGACTGCGTTGTGATAGCACACGCCAGAAACATTGTACATAATGATTAGCAAAGCTCCTGTAGCAGTACAGATTTCCCATACTAGGAAAAACAACACTTCAACTCCAACGGATAGAGCTACCTGTGGAATTTGTTGTGAATATGTCTGTCAATTCAAGAATAAATTAATGTACCTGTGACGTGAGTCTAATCTCCTCCTTTAAATTTCGCGAGTGTTTTAGTTTGAATTTGAGAACCCAACAACAGGAAGGGATAAGCGATAGCATTTGATACCGTCACAAACCAATTTGTATACTCGTTCGCCCTTAAAGAGGCAACACTTCACGATCATAGTGTCAAAAGTACTGTTTTTTTGAAGATCTGATGAAGATAGAACAAATTTGTAAAATGTGGAGCCCTTTTGAACTGCTTCAGTATATAATAAAATTATCACTTCAGCTTTAGTTGCCTGCGAAATCTACTCCAAATTTTCTAACAAAGACCTCAACGTGCCGCCCAGTAAACACGATATTATAGAGTATGTATACAGATCAGCTCTTCGTTCTGATGCGCGGTACGTAATGCGGTCAATTGACATCACACAACACGAGATCTTTCTTGGGTATTGACGGAAACACTGCATAAAGTTATTTTAATTAATCGCACGCCAAGGCCCAGGCCTGTGAAATTAGAATAGCTAAGATGTGGCAAAATTCTTGACAAGTTATACTGAATATGTAATAGCTCACAGTAGCACATTTACAATGAGAAAAATTTATTTATCTCGCGTGCATTTTGGTCGTTTCTCTTATGTAGAGATTTTAGTGCGTGAACAAATCAATTAACCGAAATCGCTTCTTTCATGGTTTGCGTTTTTTTTGCAGTCATTAGGAAACTAATGAAAACACTACTCCTTTCGGTGGACAAAAACTTTTCATAGGAGTGCTAGCAATCATCGAAAGCGTAAATTTCTAAGGGTAGAACATCAAGTGGTCGATTTTTCAAAACACGATTTTATGACAATGCAAAATCCAAAATAAAGTCTTATATCACACAAACACGCGTTTTTTTCCTATCTCGCTTATATTTCTGTGGACAAAACTCCTTTCTTGTTCTCCTACTAGTGTTTCGGCACACAAATTCAAAGAACTCAAAAATGCATTTGTTTTTGGAAAAGCTCTTTTGATCGCGATGTAAGAGGAAGAAAATATTTGCATTTTGCGCCTTGCTGAACAGAACCCTTTCTTTAGACTACTAGGAACAATTTAATAGCTTAAGTTTCAAAGATTTCAACGCTGTCCCTAATTTTCAGAAAAAAAAACCGTTTCTCTGCAATATAGCAGGGAAAATCAGAATGATTCACATAAGCGTTCATGTG